TAACATCTTTACTGTAGTATAATTGCTTTACGTTGTTGTGTTAGTTTCTGCTGTATAACAAAGTGAATCAGCTATGCGTATACATATATCCCCATATCCCCTCCCTCTGGCAGGTGGATTCTTAACCACTGCGCCACCAGGGAAGCCCTGCACCTGCCTGTTTATGTGACTGTCTCCCCGACCCCACCTTAGCTGCAGAGGGGAAGGGGCTGAGCTGTTTGCTCCCTGCATGACAGGGCAGGCTTGAACACATGATGGAGAATGGCAGTGGTAAGGGAGCCAGAGAGCCCAGGCTTGCAGTCAGATGGTGTGAGGCCTGGGCAAGGTGTTTGCCTTTGCGTGGGCTTCAGTGTCCTCCCCTGTGAAATGGGACCCCTGGGATCTGGTGATGGGAGGACAGGGCCCCGGATATGGTGAGGCCCCACACGGGGCCCCAGGGCCTCGCAGCGCTTGGGGTGGCAGCGGACATTCACCACCATCCCAGGAGCCGGGAATGAGTCCACCAGAAGGCAAGACTTTTGTTGTAGGTTTAATTTATTACTGTTTGACATCCAGTGACACTGACATACCCCCGCCGGGCCTGTGGACCCCTGGCCCTGGCGAGTCTGACCTGTCCAATAAAATACAGTACGAGGAGTGGACGGCTACACACATGCATCCACAGCTTAAACTACAGTGATTCCAAACTGCGGCCAAAACAGTACTGCCAGGGAAGGAAAAGAAAAACAGGTGTCGCGTGTCCCCCAATTCATAATTCTTTTTTTTTTTTTTTCTCATTTTAAACAGTTAATGCTGTTACCAACGCTACTGATGCCAGGACAGGGCCAGACACAAACAGTCCTACATCTTCTCTGCTGTATAAATATGGAAGATTTCTGTTTATACAGTTTTATCCCAAGTCTGAAACTACATCTGCTGCTACCCGTTACTGCTAAGGGCTACACCATCTCAGATCTGGAACGAGTGGCTCGGGGTTGAGACTCTGGAATGTCGGGACTCAGTCTTCCTCGCTGCCACTTCCTGAGCGGTCCTGGAGGGGGGACAGGAGGAGAAAGCGTGAGTCAGCCCCGCCCTCAGGAGCACCCCGACTGGCGCCGACCTCAGCTTTAGATGCACTCAACCACC